CCTTCCTTCCTTTCTTTTTTTGCATTAAGGCAGGATGTTGGTCTTTGTTTTTAATTAAACAAAAATATGGTACTATTTTCCTGGGACAGGTACCATTTGGTTGGCCAGAAAATCTTAATAAGAGATTAAATCAACTGGAATTTGGAGATAACTTTTTAAAATTTATTTATTTTGGTGGGGAGAGGTAATTAGGTTTATTTATTTATTTATTTATTTATTAATGGAGGTCCTGAGGACTGATCCAAGGACCTCCTGCATGCTAGGCACGCGCCCTACCACTGGCATCAACTCTACTCTACTCCAACATCAGAGTAGGACCACTGTACCACAGAAACTCTCCCTGCTTTATTTCCTTTCTTAGAATGATCTCTTTCTTTCCTATCTAGATGTTGAAGACTTCTAAACGTGTTCCAAACATGCACTTCCAGGCCAAAGTCTCAGCTGAGCCCTGGAGCTCTATCTCCAGCGGCCTAATGGATGCTCCAAGGACCCCGTAAGGAGGATGAGCGTCCAGGCAGATCTGTGGCACCAGGTCAGCCTCCACCTCACCCCGCCTGCTCCTCGTTCTGAAATGACATCACCACTCATCCGAGTAGATGTTGCGATCCTCCCCATCAGATGTCTGACTTGGTGTTCTCATTCACATCACAAATGCTTCTATTTGCATTTGTTTAATTTAATTTTATAAAGACTTACATAGTACTGAATGCGTGCCAGTCACTGGTCTAAGAACTTAACGAGACCATTATCATCTTTTGCCTTCATCACCAAGAATCTCCTTACCAGTCCTCCCTCACCTCCCATCTGCTCTCTCTAATGGTGGTCAAAGCTGCTCTGCCTAGAATACAACTCTCATCACAGTACTTCCAGACTCTAAACTTCTGAAACTCCTCGTTTTCTGTACCCCTTGGCATAGCCCACAATGACCTTTTTTATCTGCTCATCACCTGTTCCTCACTCTCTTCACACCTGCTATGAAGTTTTTGGTGCAGCCACGACCAGCTACCCACCTGCCCTCACCTATCTCTTCCCTCCGCCAGTGATGGCTTTCTCTACCTGGACCCCCCACCATCCTGCAAGTTTCAACCAGGGATATGGAAGTTTCCTGAGAGAAGGATTTCCAAGCCTGGAGAACCCCAAAGACAAACAATAAAACCCGGAGTGGGTCTAAAACAAAAACCCCAAGGGCAAACAAATGAAACAGTTGGTTCAACAGAATGGAAGAAGACAGTTGCCAAACTTTCTTAACCATATGGTCAGACCAAAAAAATTAAAAAAAAAAGAAGGAGAAGAACCTAATATAACACTGCAAATGATGAAGCAACGACAAACTGGAATACTTTCTCCAAGCAAAAAGGAAATGTGGAGGAATCACACAGCTGTAGTCACAGAAGCAGCTCCTGAGTCAGCCAACTCCGGGAAGACAGGCCTGGGAATCAGAGATTGATGATTTATGCTCATTTACTTACATTTGGTCTGAGTTCTCTCTATTTTGTACTTCTAAGCCTCCCGTCAGCATCATTTCTGGTCCCACCCATTTTCAGCAAGTTTCGTACAGCCTTTTTTTTTCCCCCTCCCAATTGTCTCTTCTCTGCTTTTATAGATGATCATGAAAAAGAATAAGAAAATGCAAGTGGAACCGCAGGCCACTTTCAGAAACGCCCACGTATGCAAATCTGAATTCCAGGAACACACACAAAGCGTCAGGCTAAGTCCTGTGAGCGAGGACTTCTGCAAACTGACTGGAGAACACAAAGGTGATGAAGACATGACCTTGAATTCAAGGACTCAGAGTTTTGGAAAAAGACTCACAGCCCACAGTCTTGGGTGTATGGCAGGGCCTTCAAACGTAGGATGTCTAACACCCAACTTGAGTCTGTCCCTCAAACTCGACCCTCCTCAGACCTTCCCCATGTCAGTAAATGAAAACATGAATCTTCCAGCTGCTAAAATTAAAAACCCAGTTTATGATCCCTCTTGACTTCCCCCGTTCTCTCATGGGCCTCCACAGTCAGACCAGCAGCACATCCTGTCTACTCTGTGAACCAGGATCTGACCACTTCCTGCCCCAGTCATGGCCCCACCGTCTCTCCCTGGTCCATTCAGGAGCCTCCTTGTGAGTCTTCCTGCTTCCAGGCTTGACTTACCCTCCTACACGGGAATCAGAGTCCACCTTCTAAACAAAAGGGATGTCGGTCCTTCAGATGCCCAATGACATACTGTCTTAAGTAAAAACTCAAGTCTCACCGTGGTGCCTAGCTCCACCCGACCTTGTCCAGCTCTGTCTCCAGACCCGCCCCACCCCGGTCCCTCAGCCATGCCAGCCACACGGCCTCCCTGCACCCTGGTCCTCAGACAACCCCAGGAACTCCCACCCCCGGGCCTCTGCCATTTCCTCTGCAGCCTGGGCTCTTCCTCTAGACCGATATCCACGTGGTGGCCTCCTGCCCACCTTCCTCAGACTACCCTTTCATTTGAAAGACCTCCTCTAAAAAAGCACCCCTAATCTCTCCATTTTCCTTATCCCACCTTATTTTTCTACACAGCCCCTGTACCACGTGCCATTTCTTAGATCTGTTTACTGCCTGTTTGCCTCACTGAAATGTTTGTGTTAAGACGGCAGGTCCTTCGTCCTGTTCACTGCTGTGTTTCCACACCTGCGCGGTGGCACATAGTACGTCCTTATTAAATGTACGTCCTTAAGAAATGAAAAGTTGAAAGAGAAACAAGATATGCACACAATAAGTGAAATGCCAGATCAAAGGTAGTTCATTTAAGTAGAAACTCTACTCTAAAAAAAGACTCATTTGCCTCCTGGGAAAGTTTCTTCTAAACAATGAGCATCTCTGTGTAGGATTCCATTTTAAAAAAGTCAATTCACAGGCAACTCTATGCATAGCTAGTGCAGAAGTGGTGTCTACCTGATTACCTGTTCAGAACACACTGGAGTGACTGAAGGTGCAGTGAAGCATAAGCTGGTCATCACCTGCCCTCAAGGAGTTTCTACTGTGTTACATCCAGGAAGACAAAGTGGGAATATAAAAGGTGGAATGTGGAATCTCTGTTGCCTCTTTTGCAAGCAAGAGACTTTTTAGAATTCAGAAAAGGGCAAACCACTTCCAACTAGGGTGATCATGGACCTGGCTGGACCTTCAGCAAACGTGTTAGAGCAGGCAGGCAATAGATATGAGCAGAGAAAGGGGGACATGGGCAAACTGCAGAAAACCATTCATCCTGTAAACAATGGGGGACCTGGGACAGACGAAGAAAAACAGACTCCTCAGGACTAATTAAAAAACCATACCTTCCGGGTTGACAATTGTCCCGGAGGCAGAAGGGTGGGGCAGGACAGGAATCCCCACCATCCGAATGTAACCATTTGTTCATTATGACCTCATCCAACTTCCGGATCTAGACTAAATAAGGATGAAAAATCCCTCCTCCCCACCTGGGAAGGTGGAGCTGGGATGAAGATCAGAAAAGATGACCCCTGAATCCCTCCCCACCGATGAATATTCCGCCCATTCATTTTTACGCTCCTATAACAAGGTTGCCAAGGAAACTCAGGACAGCCACCCATCTGGGTCTGCCTCTTTCCTTGAGAGTGAACTACCTGTCCCTTAATAAATCCTCACTTTGCTTTCTTAACCTTTGCGTCTTGTCTCTGAATTCTTTCTGCAAAAGACAAGAACCTCTCGACCCCCCAAAAATGGAGACAGTTGGACTTGGGGGAGAGGTAGAGGGAATTTGGGATTAGAAGTGGAAGATGCTTGTGGTACTGAGGGGGAAGCTGCGCATGGGATTGTGGTGACCTGGTACAGATGGTAATTAAATGTCTGTTTTCCAGGGGAGGATAGAGCTCAGTGGTAAAGCATGTGCTTAGCATGCATGAGGTCCTGGGTTCAATCTGCAGTACCTCCACTGAATAAGCAAACAAACAAACTTATTTTACCCCCCCCAAATCTGTTTTAAAAAATGTCAGGTTTCCAGATACTGAATACCTCGGTGTGAAGTCACTCAATACGCTTTATAATCAATTTTTATTTAAAAAGAGACGTCAAAGGTTAGTAGCCTTACTATGAAATGCTTCAGGAAATGTTCTAGTCATTTTAAAGGTTTCTTTGGGGGGTGTT